GTGGGTATCGAGATCAGAACAAATCTTGCAAGAGTACTAGATATCAGAATTGTGCAGTTTAATGGTTCGTTCTGACTGCTAGTGGTGGTTTTGGCTACTACAGAAGGTATTCATAGCCTAATCTGGAAGTGCATGAGACATAAAAAGATTAGGGGGTATGTACTACATCCTTCCTAGGGCAACCCGGTAGTATAAGAACTCTACTGGGTTATCTATAGAATTAGAGTTTAAGTAGTATAGCAGATGTCGATTTGGGTGGCCTTCAATAAGAAGCAGCACAAGGTTATAGATTGGTGTGATTGTGTTGGTAGTATAGGATAGAGGACATCAGAGGGTTTAAATAGGTAATCTTCTAGTTAGGTTACAAGTATAGCATATAGTGTAGAACCTTCAGGCGGACTACTTAAATTAGGCGACCAAAAGTTGTATGTGTGGCTATATGTACTCTTGCTAACCAAGAATATACTACTAAAAATACCTAATAAAAATCCACCCTTTCACGACATTGCGAAGATATAAAAAAAAATAAATTTCTTGAAAACTATCAACTGCTTGCTTAGTTAGAATATACAATCATTGATGTTGAACAAAAAGACACTCTTCGACTTGATAACTATGACAGTTATATTCTAATAAAACAATAAGGTATAGATATAAAATATTTTATAAAAAAATATTTAACAATCGTTACCTTCTTGATTAGGCTGTGCATCTCCAGAAGGTTGGCATAGAGATGATGTTTGACTTTACATTGTTGATGAGTTTTGCTTACGGGATCTGAAGTTTCTATTAGCCATTTTAATAAGGATTCAAGAATTGTAATTATTCTTGGAAGATGAAGTATAATGGTTTTATTATTAATAAAATAAGAAACAAAACAAATTCAACTTTGCTCATTATATAGAAAAATTAATTTATTGATTAAGTATTTGCAAGATAGACTATTCATAAATAGTATAATTAATTTCTAGATTACTAGCACTGTTAAGTGTAGTGATAAATAGTGATAGGACCTTCTGCATTATTAATAATTAATAATAATTATTAACAGTTAGCTTGAGTTATTAACTAAAAACTATTTAATAATATATAGCGTAGCTAGTTAGTATTAATACTGCATAGGCGAAAAATATGCCAATTTTTCATACAATTTTTTTTTAACTAGTGCAGGCGAACTTGTTAGGTTTTGATTAATAAGTATACTATAGTTGTTATTTATTAACCTGGAAATTAAATTCTAATAATATTTATGCTTATTACTAAAAATTGAAATATAATAAGTATATCCATATACTGTATAATTAAAATTTTGGCTCTTGTAAACAAGAAAAAAAATACTCGTTTGTAATTTTATTGACCTCTTATTTTAATTAAATTTCATTTAGTATATGCATAAGGAAGTGCTCAAGCACTAGTTAAAAAAAAAGTATAAAAATTAGCATATTGTTCACCTGCATGGTATTAATACTAACTAGCTGTGCCATTTATTGTTAAATAGTTTTTAGTTAATAATTTGGGCTAATTGTTAATAATTATTATTAATTTTAATAATGCAGAAGGTCCCATCACTAATTAAATGATTATTTTTTTTATTTTTTTTTATAGTTAACGTTAGTCTCTTCGGCTTATTGCTTTTATTAGATATTAGAATCATGTGGTACTCTTCAAAGAGGCCTCAGACAAGTACATTCTGATGAGGATATATTCTAGCCATATCTGCATCTTTTGGGTGCCTAATTAAGTAATCTACCTATATGCTAGGTGCTATACTAGATGCCATACCTGTAACTCACTATTACTTGAATTATCCAATTAAACCCTCTGATCTGAGTTTCCTATATCAATCCATCTAACCTCACTCAGAATATGTGATATATAAGTCAGACCAAGTTCCAAGATCGTTGTGTCTATTTATAGAACTACCAGCATGATTAACTAATTCATTCTCAAGTGCATCACCTGCTAAAGCAGTCTGATACCTACTATTTCTGTATTGTCTAGTCTTTTTCGGTAACTTACGCCAAATCCAAAAACAAGTATTTGCAAGCTGAGGCCTCTATATTTATCTACTACCGCCCTTATAGAGTTCACCCAAACTCTGATACATCTACTGACTTTTTCCAGTTTCACAGCTATCTCAAACTACCAATTCAGATAGCTAGTAAGGGCTATAATCTGCCCCTAATCCCCACGATTAGATCCTTTTCCTCTGGTTACTCCTCCGGTAGCCTGGTTAGTAGAGTGCCTTGCCAAACACTTCAGTCCTGTTTAGTTTATCTGGTTCTCCAAGTATTAATCTGTATGTAGTACTATCAAAGATCTGTGCTACTTTTCTATTCGAGACTTTCCAAGTGAGCGCTTTACCACTATATTGGCCTTGTGGCTTTCTGCGATTCCAAAGGACTTATCTTGGGTTTGCACCAACTAAACTAGCTTGCATGTCTTTGTGTAACTTCTTTATTATACAAATGCCCCAGAACCTTCTAATTTTTATCTTAATACAACCACAGTTACAGGGTTTTGAGTTTTCTCAGCTATGGTGATAGTTGCCGAATTCGGTTTTCTAAAATCCAATTTTTCGCCTTCCGTAGGAATTGAACTTATACTCTACTGCTTGAGGGTGCGACAACTTCACCACTTCACTAAGTTGCCACACCCTAAGTGATTATTTTTAGCAAATCAAAATTTGAAACTTTTGTAAAGGAATTATCAATAAAAAGCAACTCTTCTGCTTAAAATCTTTACAAATTGCTTTGAAATAATTTTTTTATTTAAATTGATTTTTATCTCTTTGATATAATATTTTTTTAATTACTTTCTATTATTAAACAAAAACAAAATGACTTGGTCATACCATTATTGTGAAGAAATCGATATAGATAAAATATTTACAAAACAAAGTGATTTGATACTGCATATTGCACTAAGTTACTTTTTCATCAGAAATACAACATCCAAGGTAACTACAACTATTTAGCAACAATATTTAGATGACAAAATATGGTGATTGCTGTCACAATCAGAAGATTCTAATAATTATTTTTTAGCTAAATCTTTGGTAAATAGATTATAAGTTTTAATTTAAGTTAGTGAATATTAACTAATCATTATTTAAATTTAGAGTGAAGATGAAGCTAAGGATAATGACTTTGTTTCTTTAATAGAGATAGATGATAAATCTAATATGACAAGTGATGAGTCTCAAGCAATGGAAGATGAATTTTTTCTAATCAAAGACGAATATTTTCTATTCAATGAACTTTTTCTAATCAGTAATGAATCTATTTCAATCAAAGATGAATCTCTTTCAATTGATAATGAATCAGAAAGTGTTAAAATTGACCAAGAAGATTATGAGAATGCATCAAAAGATGATGTCTATCAAGATTTGTAGAATCCACCAACAGTAAAATGGCCTAACAATGCATATAAAGAGTTTATGGCAATTGTTATCAAATATTAGTTATCAAATTCAGCTGGTGATGCTATTATAAATTTTTTTAATAAATTTTCAAATTTGGAGGTTTTGCTATTGCCTTCATCAACAAAACTCAGCAAAAATTTTCTGTAATGTTCTGATATTCTATACACCATGTTTAAAGAGATCTCTGTTTTTGAGTTTCAGGATATTAAGTATACTTTCTTCTATCGATCATTGATTAAAATGATAAAATCTTTATTGGCAATTGATAGCATTAATCAGAATCTTGTACTGGAATATAAAAAAATAAAAGATAAAAGTATCCATTTATTCAAAGAACAATATAACTGTAATTGGTAGAAAAAAGAAGAATCATACCTTTTACTTGGTCAATGACTACTTTCAATTATTTTTTATTCAGATGCAACAACTTTAAACCATATGAGAAAATCTTTCAGACATTCTATATTTTTATCTTTTACAGTGCAGGAATCCTTAAATCAACCAATAAAATACATAATTTTTAAAAGCTTATAAACAAAAAACTATAACAATTACAAACTAAATCTTTTTATAGAATAATACAATATAACCTAAAGAATATAACTATGATATTTATTTTTTTAATTAATTAATATTTTATAGTGTAGAATTCTTTTTAAGTTAGATGATTTTATTAATAAATCCAAAATTTTGGCCGGTCACATGATACCAAATAAAGCATCTTATTGGCCAGAATGCATAATAATAAATCACATAATCAGTAGTTTGATAATTGATTGATTTATCGATTAAATCAGACTTTATCGCTATTGTTACGGTGAGTTTGTGCGTAATCTTATTACTAAATCTGTAATAATGCATCATTTAACACAATGAACTTTATCGCTATTGTTACAGTGAGTTGTACGTAATCATGCATTAATATGTTTCAGTAGAAAGCATTGTATAAATATAGTAGGTTAATAGAGATTCTTTTTTTAACAAAATAAAATAAAAACTTTAGAAAGTTCTCCGGAACCATAATTGTTTAAGTCTTGAGAAAAGTGCTATTAGTATTGAATTAAAGAAAAAAGACAAGTGGAAATAAAAAAAAAATCCTTATCTAATGCTATATGTGGTTGTGAGTAAGACAGACAAACAAAGAAGGTCAAAGATTTTATATTAGCGAAGGCCCTGTTGTTAATCTGTCAAGCATCTAATAAAGAATGAATTTAAGTTAAACAATAAGGAGAGAAAGTAGTTGAATATATCAGAAAGAACTAATGAAACTATACTTATCTGGGAATGCAATATAGACATTTTCAAATTAGTGATTGATCTCTGAAACTATTGTATAATTTGTGGTATAAAAGATCTATCGCATTTCATATTTCACAGATTAAATTCATATGCTATTTAAATATTATGACGCTTAAATGATACAATAAATTCTCAAACCGAAAGTAAAGTCAATAATAAAAAAATAAAAATAAAAATAAAAAAATAAATAAAATGTAGTTTGTGCAGGCTGATATTTTAAAAACTCAATCGACTTTACAACATCAGTCTTGTTTGTCAAATATAACATTTTATTGGAATGGTACAATTATCAAAAAGAAAGATTCACTTACGAAAGATTAAGGTGCAAAGGATAGCCAAAAGAAGGAGTCAGGCGGAAGCTTCAGAAACTTGTAACAGCAGTGGTGATGAACTTAATGATGTTGAAGATGGGGAAATAAGTATTTTGAGACCTGAGGAAGCAGATAACGTGATTACAAGGTTGATGCAGACAGTTTCAGAAGTAACAACTCATCGGCTGCTTGTATATATTAGAAACTCAATAAGAACAAAAAGAAGACAGAGATAAATACAGTGAGAAGCTGCAGCTAGAACACCCAAGTTAGAATTATTTTAGTTATCTGTAAGTTATTTTTCACTAATTTAGCTAAAAATGTAATAATTGTAATGTGAATTAATGTTAAATTACTTTGATTAAATCTTTTTAAAAAGATGGTGAATAGACATATAAATACGAATGATGATAGTATAAGCGATTCAATCGGTTCGGATAGTGATTCTGAAACTTTTGGAAGTGACTCTGAAGTTGAAACTGCTAAAAGTCACAATATCATGTCCTTAGAAAACTTGAACAATACCATTAAGCAATTAAAAAAATAAATCAAAAGTAATAAACATAGTGAGGTGGTAAAGGCACGTTTTTATACAATACTGTTCTATTTTCGTCTTGTAGAGCGTGGTTGTAAAAGGATTGAGGAAACATTATTGTGGCAGAAGCAGCTAGAAAAGGTGTTTATCATGCTCGTTGCATACGTGCATAGGCAGTAAATTATGTTAAAAATGATAAATTTCCGATTTCAAGACAAGGCAAACATCCAAAAACTTGGAGTTTTCTATGGAATGACGATGTTTTGATTCAGATCAAGTCATTTCTTCGATCAAATAAGTAAAATGTTAATCCAGACGAACTGGCAAAACACGTAAATGAAAAAATCTTCCCAAGACTATGCTTTGATCCATCACCAACTATATGTGTGAGAATAGCTAGAAAGTGGCTACAAATATTCGGGTTTGAGTACTCAGAAGTTAGAAAAGGAATGTATATAGATGGACACGAGTATACAGATGTAGTGGCTTATCGTGAAAGGTTTTTGGAAAGAATGGCAGAATTTGAAGCACGTATGGTGGTTTTTTCTGATGAAAATATGGAAGAAGAAACTAGACCAGATTTTGATGATATTATCATTTTGATAACATATGATGAGTGTATTTTTTCAGCTTATGATGGAAGACGTTGGCTCTGGTTGCCAAAAGGGGAGCAACCACTTTGTAAAAAAGGCCAATGACGGTCGGTTCATATAAGTGAATTTCTCATTGATATTGGTGAGCGTTTAGTGTTACATGAGGAAGACAAGGTATATATGCAACGTCTTATTTATTTAATTTTATAATTAGAAAGTTCTAATTAAAATTTTTTAGATTGCTTTCCCCAACCTTCCATTAGAAGCATGTGTCATAACTTATCCGGGTAAAGATGGTAATAGATGGTGGAATTCAGATGATTTTGTGGATCAGATGATAAACTGCGCAATCCCAATATTTGAAGCTCGGTTTCCAGGTGCAAAGGCTCTTTTTGTATTTGACAATGCAACTGGTCATTGTGTATATGCCGAAGATGCCCTTTTAGCAAAAAACATGAATTTATCTCCTGGCAAAAAACAGCCAAAAATGAGGTTTGTATGTTATTATAAGTATTTTAAATTTTTACAGTAATATATTAATATTAAATGTTCTCAAACAATAGAAGTATCACATACAGAGATGCTATCCTGCAAGTCATATGCTTTCCTGAAGATTATAAAAATCCTGATCTTCATGGTGAACTGAAGGGTTTGAAGCAAGTATTGGGTGAGAGAGGATTGTGGCGTGATGGAATAAAATTAGCATGTAAAGGAGGGTGTGAACAAGGAAAAACTGATTGTTGCACTAGAATGACAATAGTGAACCAGCCAGATTTTAGAGCACAGCGTAGAAAAATTGAAAAAGCGATTATTTCTGCCGACCATAAAGTTATTTTTTATCCAAAGTTCTATTGTGAATTAAATTATATAGAAAATTTTTGGGGTCAGCAAAATGATATGCATGCAATCACTGTGACTATACCTGGGAAGGTTTGAAGAGAACTATGCCACAAGCTCTTGAATCAGTGCCTCTCATTGAAATTAGACAATATGCCTGGAAGTCCTTTAGATATATGAATGTATATCGCAAAGGTTTAACAGGAAAACTTGCAGAATATGCTGTGAAGAAATATCGGTTGCATTGCCATGTACCAGATACGATTTTAAATGAAATTGATGCATTGAATAATTAGCAGGTAGATAATAACTTTATTATCTAGAATTATTTCTGCAATACTTGATTTTTTATTATATTTTTACTTTTGCCTTTTAATAAATTAAGTTCATATTTAGATACGTCTATTTTATATATTAATATTATTGGAATTGGGGTCAAAAAGAAAAATATAAAGCGTTCATTATTATAAAGAGTCTGAAATTAGAATTTTAATAAAATATTTACGGTTGTTACTGGGAATTGGGGTCAAATTGAATGAATACAAAACATTTATTATTAAATTTGTAGTATGTTGAAATCAAAATTTTATCAATATAAGTACAAAATTATTTTAAATAAACTTAAAATAAATTTAACCTGAAATTATAATGGTTTGTAGTTTTATCAGTTCTTACAGTTTTTTGTTAAAACAATAAAATTTAAAATACTTGTTAAATCAAACTTTTGAATATGATTGTACATATATATTGAGTTGCGAAATTTGAAGATCATTAAAAAAAAAGTAAATCGCTGATTTCTGATTTCTTCAACAGTTTTTTTGACCTTTAGACTAGACAAAATTTGCGCATTTATCATTTGCAAAAATTTGATTAAATATTTTAATGCACAACTTCTATTTCTGCAAATATATTACAAAATGATGAATATGTAATTTTTATTTCTATAAAAATAATAAAATTTTTACAAAATAATAAATGCACAAAATTTTACCTTAAAAAAAAATATTTAAAAAATCAGAAATTTGCAAACTGCAATAAATAATTGTAATTGCAATTGCAATTGCTAAAGCCAGTCAGTTTATCATGAATCTGAGCTTGTCAATCTCAAATTTATGATAAATTTGCCAGCTTTAGCAATCGCGATCACAATTACAATTATTTAATTATAAAAAATTAACTATTGAGGGTCACAAAATTATGCAAACCACAATAAAGCATCATACATTTTATTGTGCATTTATATTCAATATATGCCAATTTTATTTCTGTTAGATTTTTATAACTTTTTTGATACGAAACATATCTTAGCTCAATATAAGTTTTTTTCAAATATTATCCAGAAGCTGCTAATTTAATGCTTAATATATATAAAATAAATACCAAATTTCATCATCGTTTTAGAAATCTTTCATTTGAAAATCTGATATATCAATGCAGTTAGTGATCAATATGAACTAACTTAAATTGCTTACGCATATCATCACACAAATCATAAATCACAATATAAATCATGATATGAATCATGATATGAATCATGATCGAATCACAATACCGAATCACGATATGAATTATGATCAAATTATGATACGAATCGTGATCGAATCACGATACGAATCACAAGCAATTCTGTTTTTGGTTTTTTTTTTTTTTTTTATTGCAGTAATTTCCTGCAATTTTATTGGCTCCGACCCGGCTTCCGACTCTAGACAAAATTTGGCTGCATATATAAGACTTGCTGATTTAAGAGTTTCTGCACTGTAGTAATATTCCAAATTCTCAAAGGCATAATCTAGAATCTAAAGCATTAATTAGATATTTTCTAGTTTTAAAAGCCAAAGATTCAAAAACAAAAAAGTTAGATAATATTCGAAAGTCACAAAGAGAAGTTTTTCAACAATACTTAATGATTTTTTTTGGTTTAATACTTGGAAGACCAGAGTTTAACTTTATAGTTCATAGTAATATAATTCTATTTGTTCTATGAATTTTGGTTATTATATTCAATATCAACTAAGCTTATCAAAAAAACTATGCAGGTGCTGTTTAGTATTAAAAGATGATTTAAATAATACAACCTTAAGTAATATTATGTATAGAACTCCAAATAATATAAAACAAATGCTAGCAAACGGTGAGATGTAAAAATACTTAATTCATCCTGAAAAAAATATTTTTTGGAAAATAGTATATAAAATATTTAAACAATTAACTAAATTTTTTTTAAAGAAGATATATTATTAAAATAATTAAAATTATTAGTAACTTTAATATATATAAAGCAACCATTCCTGATTGAATATACATATTAGATCTTGGTCTATTTAAATATATGTTCGATTATACAAAAGATCTTTTAAATGAACAGTATGAAGGTTGAGTAATTCAAACTTTTGAATAATAATTGTCATCGATTCCTAGATTCCCAGGTCTTAAAATAATGAAAAACATATCTGATATAACGTATATAATAGCTAATAAATTGAAAAATATAATGAAAGTGATTATTTTTGGCTTGATAACCTTTATAATATATACGGAGAGCCAGGAGTCAGTAATAAAAGATTGTGTAAAGTATTTTACCAATTTTGTCAAATGTATATAGCTATTAGAAAGAAATTTTTTACGAACAATTTATGTATTTAGCTTCAGATATGAAATAATGTTTTGTATTAATATTTATAAAATTCTAACAATTATATATATTTATAGACTCTCATTACCAAATTGGCTCAAGAATTTGTTAAAATATTCTCATATTATTCTCGAAGCGGTTTACAACTTCCAAAACTTCATGCATAGTACTACCACATAATACCTACAATCAAAAAATACAGAGTAATAAATTGTATAACTATGGAGATTTATAAGACTCTTCATAAGACATATATTAAAAGAACTTATTATTTGTCTAATAAAAAAGATTTTATAAAGCAAATAGTAAAATTAATAAAGATTAATTAATTTTAATTATAGATTGAAAATGTTTAACTGCATAAAACTGTTGATATGCAAGACAGAATTACATTTATCACGAGCTAAAATTATTTTAATGCTTGTTAAATTAAATATTAATACAGTTAAACGATTAAGAAAATTTTAGGTGGTTCTGATTTCTAATTTTAATTCTTTAATAATAATTGATTATTTGTTAGGTAAAATAGCAGAAGTTAACTGAGAAAGATTTAGTTAAAAAAAATAGATATATTAAAAGATATGATAGAAAGTTATGGACATGTAATTTGGAAGGACTAGATGACTTTCTTTGAAGTAGTGAAGATGAAATAGACCCACTACAAGTTGAAGAGTTTTGTAACCTATTAAAGGGTCTTGATGAATTTTTTGAAGAAGAATCTAATATGTTGATCTATGAAAACAACTATATAGAAACATTTGCTTCTACCATTTTAGAGAATACTAATTTCATTTGTTCAACAAAAAGTTTTTACAGAAAGTCTGTGTTCTCAAATGTAATAGTAAATGCTAAAAATGAAGAAGAAGATGAAGTAAATTGATATGGTCTGGTAAAAAATGAAATATTTATCTATTTTTATTATAAATATATACTTACTAATATATATTTGCATATTAAGGTATTACTGATTCTCAAGTTTTATGAAGCAGAAGAAAGAGAACCGCTTGACTTTGCTCTTGTATATTGGTATGAAGAAGAGAAAAATAAATTATGGAGATGTTCTAAATTAAAATTAATTAATCAATATACATGTATATAAACACAAAGCATTTATAAAATAGTTCATATAGTTACAAGATTTGGTAAAACAAATAAATATTTAGTGAATATCTATATGTTCTAATAAAAATCGATGTTTTGAATCGATTTGTGTAATTTACGTGGCTGTGATCTTCTATTAATATTAATATGTGAAATAACGATATTTTCTTGTTTTAATATTTTTCTATTACTTATTTTCTTATCTGTAATTTTTTTTTATAATATTATAGTAAGGCTTTATATCCTAGGACAGTGTTAGCAATTTTGGCTTCTAGTAAGAATTTCTAATTTTCTAGTAGGATTTTGTAATAGTAAAAGTTCCAGTTTTACTATTAATTTTATTTCCAATAGCCTTCTAGTGGTCTTCCAGTAGTTTTTCAGTACAAACACTGTTCTAGGATAACCAGAGTAGAAACTCAGGCTAGTTTATTTGCGGTTTAATCAACTCTTATCTGTTGTTGTATTACATGCATATTAAATCAATAGTAAGTAAGTATAGAATTCTATTATAATATTTTATTGTCAATGAACGAATAAATACATTTATTCGTTATACTATATATGTGTTAAATTAACAGAAAGTAAGTGTAGAATTTTATTTAGCTACTGAGACATTTTACTTGCAACTCTTGGATGCTAGTCTATGAAATAATTTTTAATGAAATAGAATAGTCCTTGAAGTTACTAAGAAAAAAATCGCTTATTTCAAAAATAAATACAAGAGATTGATCAGTTTTTTATTTGGAGAATTCTGTTAGTATTATTAATATTTTAATATCATTTTATTTCTGCTTCTGTAACAATATAATATATTTATCTTGAATAACTAGTCTATATAATGATTCTTGTTGCAATGCTAATTAAACATGAATTTGTTTATTTTAAACCACTTTTTCTTTTCTATATATTAGAGTGTGATTATTCTAATTCATTGTGTTTAATATTGAAACAGAATTGCTTTGCAATCTAGAGTTAAACCAAATATATTAAATTTAACTTATTCGCTTGGCTAGCCACTAAGTTATAATCTCTAACATTACTATATACTAGTTATCTGTTGTGTTGTGAATGATAACTAATTATTCACTAGGTTTTTTTTTTTAAGAATTAGGCCTGACCTCGGTCTTTATTGAATAATTTATGTTTTATATTTTTAGAATGAATTACATAAATTATTATAGGGACCTACAGCTAAGACTACTTTATCCT